GGGCTGACGCTGCCCACAGGCTAGTTTTAGCCGCTTACTAAACCTGTCACTTTGCTTCATCAGCACACAAGGAGTGACCACTGAGGGAGAGTGTGTGTGTGTGTGTGTGTGTGTGTGTGTGTGTGTGTGTGTGTGTGTGTGTGTGTGTGCGTAGCAGAGGAATAAATACAAGAAGTCTCCCCGTAACTAACGGGCAACGTCCACCCGCGTTACCTCAATTAATTTGTCTTAAAGTATTTGTAGGTTATCAATAATACTGAACTGTATCCTATATGGCACAGTCAAAACCCACGCGAATACTGTACTCAGTATCCGATTCACAAATGCCTGTTGCGTCAACAGGTAGCAAACGTGTTCTAACTTTATCTGCGACTTCAGGTTTGATAAATCTATTCGTCAGGCTTGGGGGCTTCGGGGGGTTAAATCATCCAGAGATTGACTTGAATTTAAAAAAATAATATATGGGAACGAAAATAGGCATTTGGATTGGCAATGCAGTCGGAAAATAAGAGACGACTATGGTCCATAAAGACAGAATATAAACTTGAATAAATGTACCTTGTTGCTCAGTTTGCATCGTTGGCTTTGTCTCAGCACGGGCGACAGACGCAATCTTTTGGGGGAGCGGTGCCCCTTCACTCCGGGTCTGTGGGTTTTGCCATCTTGACTAACTTTTCCTCCGTCTCTCCCTCCAAGTCGGCCTGCGCCTGCCCTAAAGTGCCGCAGTAGTTTGAATGCAACACGCCGTGTAACATCTGCTTCCTGATTTCAAAATAAGATGACGAGTTGTTGTCTCTAAACCGGTTTGAAATGTTCTTTTAATAAGGTGTTCAGTGTACTGCCATGTGATTTATGACATAATCATGTGTCACAAATACTCTGGCTTCTCAATATTGCCATACTTATAGCCATAAGGTTACTTTGACAATTCACAATTTCACTCCCCCAAATATGAAGCCTTTCTATTAAATTCCAATTCATTGTATGAAGCATTGTATGCTATTAGAAATGCAAATTAGCGATTGGTCAAGCTTCCACATTGTTTAAAAAAAAACCAACTGCAAGAAGAAAATGTCCATGTAAATAGCAAAATATGTGAGCTTGCTGACTAGGTACATGTGGTAGACCTTCATTTAACATGATTCTGTTAGCTGGCTGACTGCACACTGTTTAAAAAATAGTTTTGAATTCCCGAAATATTTTTGGAGCAACTGCAGACATAATCTAAGGAAAATTATAAAACATTGATATAATTATTTACTTTGCAACAGCCACAGTTCCAACTTCCAGGGAAGAAAGAAAAAAATGCTCATCGTAATTTCATAGAATAAAATCTGTGTTTTGAATAACATCATGACAGGGTGAGCAGCAATTTCAAAGAAACATCCATAATGTTCAGTATCATCAGGAAAATATATAATCAAAATGGCTCATTTAATCAAAAATGTGTTGTGACATATAAAACATATATTTTTAAGACTAATAATTTTGTGGATTTTAATCACTTATTTTGCACAGTAGTTAGCACAGTAGTATGTGGGACATGCCAAAATCATGTGGCTGACATTCAATTAAAAAAAAATAATAATAATTAAAAAAAAAATAAAGGAAACACATTTCAAGAGACTTATGATTTTGGGCCTACTGGTATAAGTGTAAGTAAAGTTTGGCTGCTTTTAATAAGACCTCAGCATTTCATTGTACTGCTAAATTCTTTTGATGGCTGAGTGATTGTGACAAGGACACCAAAGGCACGTTACAGTGCTATACACGCATAAGACATTGTCATGCAAGCAACATAGAAGTATAACCAGAACCAATTTAAAAAAATATTATAATAATAATAATAAAAAATAAATGGACTTTTTAGGTATGTGTACACCAGAGTTGTAATAGTGTGCGCTTTTTCATTTTGTTAATTTTTATTTTGTGTTGACTTTTCTTCAGTCCAGCCTGTTTTCAGAGCATGTATGTTACTTTTTATTAGTGTAGTTTTTATTTTTTCTAAATGCTTAATTTTAGTTGAGTTTTCATTAGTTTTAGTTTTTTTTTTACATATGGAATATTTGTCGAGTGCAAGAGGAAAAATATTGCGTTATAAATTAATCGATAACTCTGAAACGACTGTTTGACCTTCCTTTGGTACTCATGTACAGCGATACTGAAATAAATACATTTAAAATGAAACCTGAAAGTTCATGTATGATATTAATTGGCAAAATGAAAATTGACATTGTCGCTGCAAGTATAATTTTATTTACTTTTATAAATGTAAGATGTAGTTGTTGTTTGCTTCAAAGCTTTTCTCATTTTAATTTTATTAATAAAAATGTTTTTAAAATTTTAGATCAAGTTTGTCCATGAATTATTGTTAACTATAATCACCTTGGCATACACACCTTAATTAAGATAACCTTTATTTGTCCCACACTGGGGAAATTTGCAGTCTACAGCAGCAAAATTGTGGGGGTGTGGGGAGGAAAAAAACAAAGTGTTTCATTGCACAAAATAAATGTTTCAAAAAAGAACTGTACACAGTTCAATATAAGTGCAATATAAAATATAGCATTAGCAATATATTTGTAGAATAAATATAATAAATTAGCAATAGCATAGAAAACAGCATAAGGTGGCTGTGCTATTTACAATGGATAGAGGTTTTCACGTAATTGTTGAATTGAATTGAATCATAATCAGCCGTGGGCTCTGCAGCGCGAGTCTCAGAATTATGTTAACATGTATGAAGGAACACATACAATCAGCAAAAAAAGAATTGAATAGGTTTTACTCATGAAAAGCGGCCTCGACTTTTTCTCGAGATGATAACTTTAATTTTGAAGGCATGGATAGTCTTGTTCCGTCTCAATTTTGGCAGCTTGATACTGACAAGCTAGCGCAGCCAGTTTCCACATGCTAATCATTAACAGTGGAGCATGACGTCAGGGGCTTGGCAGCGCGAGACAGCACCAAAATAGAGAATTGAGAGTGAGAGTGAGTGAGAAACCGAGACCCTGCGACAGAGAGGCGGCCAACCCTCCACACGACACAATGCAAGAAAGACTTTGGTTTCCACAGAAATCGAGGGGTACGTCGTATCAGCACAGATTGAGTTATTGTGCAGGTGAATATTCCATGTGGTGAAACACCGCGTTACGGTGAATGGCTGACGTGACGTTGGTGCTATATAGTGGTGGGAGGTCAGGGACGGCAAGGACTTCTTTACGAAACATGATCAGCAGCGGTGATTTTCATTCATCTGAATTTCAACACTTGTTGCATTCAGTTGTATTAATTTATTCCCAACACCAGTGTCTTCGTTCTTTGCATTTCTCTTAACCGGTTTGCTTCTACGTATTTTTTTCCCAATCACATTTGCATGTGTTGCCATTTCAATTTAATCTGCCAGGGTCTTCGGAATCAGCAATACTGCCTGATTTAACAATGGGACTGTTTCTTTAACCTATCGGATTTCAAATTAGCCAAACAGTGCCAGCTAGCTGGCCCACAATTAAGTCAGCATTTTCTGTTCTCTGAATTGTTGTGTTGGTTCAAGCAAGCCAAATGTGACTAGCAAACAGGGGCGGGGTGGCCAATGTGAATTTTCTGAAAATATGTCAATTTTACCGAACAGCCGGTGTATTTCATCACAATAGTACTGATGGTTTGTATAATTGCAGCATGATAGTAGTGGTATTAAGGCGGTGGATTAGGTAATTTAAGTCTCCACTGAAGGCCCAGGTACCAAATGCATGGCCTCCACTATACATTCATGGGATAAATGCTGAGAGACCAAACTCTGGGAATCTGCATGATGTATTGTGAACCTATTAATTTACTTTGGTCAAATTTGAGCTTGTGGACAGAAAAGCAATGATGTTGCAATGATGTTGTAGCATTGCCTCACAGTACTGTACTTACCAATCATCTAACCCATTTGCTCAAATGTCATCCCTGATCCAGATGGTATTGCTAATATTTGTATAAAGATACAGTATGATTCAAAAAAAAAAAAAGACGATTAAAATGCTATTAATTCTGCATGCCCACTTTTCCTCGTGTTTATTCCATTGTGGACAATGTTGAATCTATCTTCGCACCCTAATTGGTAGCAGTTACTATGGCTGTGTCCAAATTCACAAGCTGAGTCCTCCGAAGGCCGCATTTTTTACCGGCATGACGTCACTGTCGGCATGATTTGTGTTTTTCAAATTGTCGAAAAACAATTCGGAGGCTGAGTATTTTGACACAGTCAAATTTTCCTTCTCATGTAGCCTCCGTGGACCCCATAAACCGTGGCGAATTTGGACACCACGTGCGGTTCAGTCATTCCGGAATCGATATCATGCGGCCGAACATGCAGCCTTCGGAGGACCCAGCCTGTGAATTTGGACACAGCCTCTATGCATCAATACTATGTACTGCATGTTAAACACAATTCCAGAATTAGCCCTCAATTTGTTTCATTCTTTTATTTTCAACTCACAATTTGTGATGAAAATTGATATCTTCAGTTTAATATCATCATTGTCAAACCACACGCCATTTTTTTGGGGTCGTTCATGACAGTCACAGTGTCAGACTTTCAGAAAATTATTGTTCTGTGCCTTAGACAGGGCGAGATTCCACAATGCATGTCCGTCGCAGACCAGACCCTGCCCAGTTGTTGCGTGCTTCCGTCAAGATTCAGTTTGTCAGAGCAGGTTCATTGGGGAGGCGGGACAAGCAGCTGTCAAAGGCTTGGCGACGAAAGCATCTCTGTTGTTTCTATGATCAGAAAAGGCAAAAAAACCCAAAAACCTGTGTATGGACCTGTTCCTGGTGGGTAGAGGGCAGTGTAGACTGTTTATTCTCCAAATAGAATTTGAATTTGAGGTAACACATTTAATGCCACCACGTTGGCTAATACACACACACACACACACACACACACACACACACACACACACACACACACACACACATATTTCAACTTTAAGTAATGCAACTTTTTAAAAAGTTTTTTAAAAATTTGACCGAAACACAACAGAGCATAAGGGTTTTAATGAACTTTGATTCATGATTTTTGGAAAATGTACAAGAATTATGAGTGCCAACAAACAAAATCCGATTGGGGAAAAAACAAAAATTTAAAAGATCCATGTCCTTCTTCTTCGAGGCATCAGTTTTCCAAACCTGAAGCAAATGCGAGGTCTACACCCACCATCTTTGACAATCTTCTGTGAATCTGCAAAGTTGTTTTGAGCAACAGTGTTGTCTTTATGTCTGACTTAATTCCATCCAAAATGAAACATGAAGCATAAAGTGGACAGATGTGGAGAAAGTAGTAATTTAGACATGCAGACGGTTCATTTATTACGCTCGGCAATGACATGACATCATCTTTAGTTGATGTTTCTATAAAATGAAGAGATCGATGAGTGTCACCTCCTCAAAATGTTTCTACCTCCTCCCACTTTGCTAATCCAGCGATATGAGATGATAAAAAGTTGAGCCCCTATCCGCCAGACCATATTTACGTCCGTGAAAACTGTCCCTTATGAGGTCATTTTTTTGGTGCAAGTCACTCGTCGTTCTTTGTGTGCATGCGTGTCACATCATGGAGGTGTTGTGTGCACATTAGAGATTGCGGGGGTTTTTTTTGGAATGTGAATGAGTACATTAAAATATTACAATCTAAAAAAAAATTGGGCATCACACCCTGCTG